CGCGACACAGGGTTTCCCTAGTGCGGGGCTATGTTGAGTGTGTGCGTTATTATTATTATTATTTTAAAGGGTAACGATGCTGATGAAATTATAGGCATATGGGATTGTTAACTTATGTGTCAGGATGACAGGCGCTGCGGCAAATCTTTGCGATTTAAATTTTAACTTTAGAAACCTTAGAGGGTGGAAAAAAAATAGAGCTGGCCTAACTGAATGAACGTGCATTTCTAAACAAAAATTGAACGCTACAAATGGGGGATTTCTTTAGTGCTGTACCATAATCTATCGATAAGTCATTATCGACATGCAAATGTATGGCTTGAATGTTGAAACTGTTTTTTTTTTATTCTTTGGTTTACTGTAATCAAAGTGTGATTAAAACGTTTAATTAAAGTAGATCAATATTCCATTGGGGAATATCTTGTTCCATTTCTGCGAATAATTGATCCTGATTATTCGCAGAAATAGAACAAGATGACATTTTGTTAATTTATATGTACATACTTTCTTTGTTTTATGTTAATTGTGACAATTTTTTTAATTGCGTTGAAAATCCAGTATGCATTTCGCCTGGCCAAGCGCCTTTGATTTGTGATAAGCGTCAAATGAGCTCTATACACATTGGACCTCGCGATCACTCGGTCAGCTAGGCGAGTGACATCGAACGATGGCAAGGCAAGGCAAATAGGCTACCTAAACGTTGGTATTGGCCTTCACCCGGCAACGTTGAATAAACATGTCATTGTATTGCTGGCTTTAAAAAATAGTCATTTTTATTATTAGAGTTGTAGTGGGAAAAAACCGAAAATGTGTGGATAATTTTGTTTTCAGGAACTGAGAATGCCTAATAAATGAGTCTTGTTGAACATAAATTAAATATAAACTTATTAACCAATGAACCTAATGATGGATTTTTTTTAATATAATAATAACGCACACACTCAACATAGCCCCGCACTAGGGAAACCCTGTGTCGCAGTTGCCATGGATACACATATAGACAACCACAAATTACACCCAAACTCACGAGGGAAATAAATGTAGGCCATTCAAATATTTCTCCCGACCCGGGAATCAAATCTAAGATCTCTTGCATGGCAATCCGGTATGATAACCGTTCAGCCGCGGAGGCAGTTAAATTGCATTATCATGGAATCTAGTTACATTCAAAGTTCTGTTAAAATTTGACTTTTCAAAATGAAACGAAAAATGTAGAAGGTTTTCGATCCAATGTTTATATTCGGCAGTCCTATGATTCCCAATAATTATTTTTTTCTTTCTTCATTTGTAGGTAAACTTGAAATAGTAAAAATAATAATAATAAAATAAACCTCGTAGTCATTGCCTTACAATTATATGCACGTCGAGTGCGCGCTAAAAAGTGTCCGAACTTATAGGGCGTTAAAATCGTATACAGAGCGTCATTCACGCTTTAGTCTTCGTTTGTTCGACTGACAGCGAAGCAAGCAAAATTAGACAGTACTGCGATGACATTACAATTTAAATTCAACATTTTAGCTTTTCCATATTCCTTTACATGTCACTACGCTTAAATAGGTTGACTTGGGACTTTTTTTCGTGGTTTCTGTATTAGACCCGTCGTCCATTTATTTGTAAGTCAATGCTCGTAGTGAATTGTTTTAATAACAGAATATCGATAATATGTACGCTTACAAGAACAACAATATCAGAAAACAAGCATTGACAACAATCATCAACATTTACAAACAAGTAGGCAATCTGAAGTAACCAAAGCAAAAATTGGCAATGCCAATAGTGTTCACACGTTTGTTCGTGCGCATATGAAATGTATGCTGATTTTTTAACGCAATTCAAAAGAAATGCCACAATTAACACAAAACAAAGAAAGTAGATACAAATTAACAAAATGTCATCTTGTTCTATTTCTGCGAATAATCAGCATCGATTATTCGCAGAAATAGGACAAGATATTTCCAAATGGAATATTGATCTACGTTAATTAAACGTTTTAATCATACTTTGGTTACGGTAAAGCAAAGTAACAAAAAAAAACAGTTTCAACATTCAAGCCATATTTTTGCATGTCGATAATGACTTATCAATAGATTATGGTACAACATTAAAGAAATCCGCCATTTGTAGCATTTAATTTTTGTTTAGATCTGCACGTTCATTCTGTAGTTAGGACAGCTCCTTTCCTTTATTTTTTTCCTTCCTCAAAGTATTTAAAGCTCTAAGTGACACTGCAACTGTCATCCAGACGCACGACTTGTTCGACCCGTCACTTGATATCATAAAAAAAATATACATTTACTTTTATATCTCTCTCTGTTTTGTTTATTTTTTCGGGTGTCATTTGTGATAATCAAATAAATGTATTTTCGTTCTTTGTTTTTCTTTCTGTTGTAGAGTCCAATGGTTCTAACAGTAAGTAATCACATGAGCTGTACTAGTGCAAAATAACAGACGGAATGCAAAGCAGTTTGGACACAACTGAAATTACTTCACATAAACTGATTGCACATGGCGAATGCTAGCTCATGTGAGGCCAGCGTAAACTCAGCGTGAAGCCGCTCCCACATTCAAACTGCTTATTGTATACATTATCCATGTGGTATTTTACAGTTGCAAAGCTGTCTAAATTCAGCTGGTGTGACTACAACCCTTGTTGGATACTTTATATTTTAGGCCATACCCACCTACCTATTATACAAAGTTATCATTAACAGTGATATCGAGTTCTTAGGTTTTCGCGATAAACAAACCAACAAAGGTTTGTTTGAAAAACAAATATACGCGATTTAAATCCGGAAAAATAGTTTGATTTCCTATGATTAACAGTGATTTTTTTTTTCTTTTTTATAACATCAAGTGGCGGGACGAACAAGTCGTGCGCCTGATGGTAAGCTACATGCCTGTGCCTAACAGTTATAATGCCACTCAGAGCTTTAAATTGTAAAGATCTGAGGGGCACTACCACTGCGCTCGTCACCCTGAGACATAAGTTGACAAGTCCCAATAATTTCACCAGCACCCTTCAAAGCCGGAACACAGTAATGCTGAGATTACTGGTTGGCGGCAGAAATAGGTAAGGTGGCAGTACTACCATAGACGAACTCTTTCACAACGAGCTCTACTGCTACTAAATTATAATTTCAAGCATTACCTTTTGAAAATGACATTTTTTCAGTAGAGATTTAAACAATAACAATAAGTACAGTAGAAGTGGTTAGTTAGCGTGTGACGCGAGCCAAATATAGGTCTCGAAAGACCTATCTGAGCTCAGTCCGCCATTTTCGCTTTGTATGGTACGGTTGTGTCATTCTTTCGTGCAAATTCTCTAAAATCCTAGAAAATTGCCTAATTGTGCTGTTTTGGAATGCAAAAGTGATAGCCGCACCAAAGATATTTATTACCTGTGATGGTATTTCATATCATCGGAAAGTCTTATTTTAATAAAATTTTAATTTTCTGTTTATCGAAATAATCTGTTTGTTACAAAAAACGAAATTAAAGCTAATACATTTTGAGTCAACCGTGACCATGGGACCTGTAAAGGACCCGAAAAGTCGGTTTGTTTGAAAAAACAAATATACGCGATTCAAATCCGAAACATAGTTTCATTTCCTTGTTATTTCTTATTAAATTTGAAGCTACGACCAATCAATATCAAGATCTTGTAGTGTTTCAAATTAAGAATGAGCAAGTTTTGGGACATCGGTTCTGACAGTAATCGAGGCTTAAGGCACTTCAATTTTTTTTTCTTCCGTGGACTTAAACAATCTACGTACGTAATTAGTCGATAACTTTTTTATACTTAAAAAGGAGAGTTATAAAATTTAATATATACGTAATTTGTTTCATATAGTTTGTATTATTTTTGCGAATTTCATGTAATAAAAACACTTTTGGCATATAATCACATGTGAGTCTGTTACACCACTCAGTTGAATTTTATGTTAAAGGGCAATATTAATAATCTGTGTTATTAATACTTCTCCCTTCAAACAAGGATTATCCACCCCCTATCGGCGTCGTCAGGTAGTAAGTACGCTGTTATCCAAGTCACTGTTTGTTTAGGACGCGAAAAAACGTCGCTTCTTTAATTTCGCTTGGAATAACAAATTATCAAGGTTCACCTGTTTTCTTTATTTTTTATTTTGGTTAGAGGTAAAAGAAAAGTATATTTTCTTTAAACTTACATTGCAAGTAAGTTACTGTTAACTAAAGTCATGTAGGTTACAATACATGTCTAAACAAACATAAGTATGGGTGTGTTTATTTTTTAAAACATTCGTTATTTAGTTTTATTTTATAAAAGTTTTGCATAAAAATATAGTATTTTATAATAAGTGTTATGTAAATAAATAGTCTCCATATCCGTAGTCTCTACTATTTTTAACTGATTTAAAAAAAAAGGAGGAGGTTATACTTTCGGCTGTATGTATGTTTTCAGATATCTTCGTCAATTGTGTACCGATTTTGAGAATTCCTTTTTGTTTAAAAGGGTGCACTGTCGTGGTGATCCCATTGTCACCAAGTCGAAATCTGATGAGGGAATCCCATGAAAATCGAAGGAAATCCTCAAATGTCACAGGCATGTCCGTGTATGCACCAATTTGTCCTTCAATTGCAAACCGATTTTGAAAATTCTTCTTTGTTTGACAGGGTATACTCTCGAGGTGGTCCCTGATGCTGTTCAAGGTTTCTTTCGGCTACCACAAATTACTAATTATTTTCCACAAATAAAAGTCGACTTTTCACTTGACACAATACGTGTAATCAACAAATCACCTGATGGCGATCCATAACAGCCAGAAAAGACAATATAAAATATACAAAGGAATCGGTAACAGCCCCATTATCACCAAGAAGTCAAAATCTGATGAGAAGACCCCATGGAAATCGAAAAAAACCGATAAGCAAACTTTTCAGGTCGGTTTTTTTCAATGAAAAAGTTATAATTGTCTACAACACAATGTAAAGAAAGAAGGATATAAATTACGTAAAGTTCATACCTGTAATGGCCCAAAGTTCCTTCAAGCACTCCTCCCTCGAACGTTGTATCGCTGATTTTTTCTGCACCTCAGCCCCTGATTCCAAATACTCGAACAGAAGTGCACCAAGCAAAACATAGATCACCACAAGCACCACCAGTCCGAGCTGAGAACATGCGGCGCGGACGCATCCTCCCACTGCCCTTCGCAGAAACCCTGGGCGTTCTCGCTCGTCCAATGAGTCTTCTGAAGACATTTCGGTTTTTAAATTTGAACTTCTACATTTAAAATTCTCATCCCGATTGGCACTTGTTTATTTGGTTAACCTCCTTGGTAGCAATGCTCTTATATGAAGTGTTCTACATTATACTTTCTAAAGTCGTATTTTGCTGCAACAAAAGAAAAACTTTTTTAAAGCCTAGTTTTCACAGTGAAATCGAGAAAGTTAAATATGTGTCATTGTTGTTATTACGAGCTACAAATAATAACAAAAATATATTAGGAAATGAAACTGGTTATTTTTTTCAAACAAACGTCCATTTCGGGCCCTTTATAGGTGCCATGATCGAAGCTGATTGACCATAGAACCTGTAAAGGACCCAAAACGTTCATTTTAAAAAACAAATATGCGCGATTTAGATCCGAAAGAATACTTTCATTTCTTTTGTGTAACAATCGCGGATACCTAAGAACTCTTTTTTATTTATTAAGAACTAGTTTTTTTTAGCAGCAGTAGAGCTCATTGGAAAGAGTCCTTCCAGGGAAGTACTGCTACCTTACCTATTTCTGCCACCAAGAAGTAATGTCAGTATTACTGTGTTCCGGTTTTGAAAAGTAAGTTTACAGATGCAATGTTACGACAATAATTCATAGCTTCTAGTATTACTTCACTTGTTTTTCGATTCAAAGGTTGTTGATTCCAATTCAAATTCTTACAACGCAAATTAAAGACACCCACACACTACCCAGATAACAATAAAGATCCTTGTGTATGTAAAACATGAATCGTGACCATAACAAGAGACATATTGAATATATAATATGAATAATTCGCTACTAAAACTCGGTTTTTAAAACTATAAAAATTGGCGCCGGTATTCTATTGTGATTTTTTTTTTTGTAATTTTTAATATACTAACGTATTACCACTACAGTGAGTGTCTTTTATTGTAAAAATAAATGCATAATTTTCCTTCATAACCAAAAAAGCTGTTTCGTTATTGCAATGCTAACGGAATACTCGTGGAATAACAGAGTTAAGAATCTTGTAGAACAGATAAAGTATTATTTTACATTTCACAATTATAATTATTAATTGCAATGACACTCTCAAACCTAAGACAAAAAACTCCACGTGCTTACAAATAACAACTGAGAAACTTAGTGTGACAGATATTACTAAAAAGCTATAATTTCAATATGAAATTTAGAGTTTATAAAAACAAAACAGACCTTAAAATGGCTTCCGATAAGATATTTCTAATCGGAGCGCAGTGGCAGTGCCTCTCAAATCTTTGCGATTTAAAGCTCTGAGTGACATTGCAACTGTTATGAACAGGCACACACGACTTGTTCGTCCTGTCACTTGATGTTATAAAAAAACTCGAAAAATATATTATATTGTTATAACAGTCTATGAAATAGTCTGCAGTTTTTGCTCCGTAGGTGCTCTTCAAATAATGAACCTGTAAAATTGTAACTTGCAAAAACCTGCTAGATGTTTTTTGAGCAATATTTTACCAATAAAACGATAGTAGGTTTTACGATCATGTCATTCAATTTGCTCATTACGAAAGGTCTCATTAAATTTGGACCCCAGACGAGATATCGAAGGAAACAGGGTCATTTATTCTCGGGTCAAATCTTAAAGGATAACTTTGGACATGTATGGAGTTGACAGGATAAAGATGAAGGATGATATTTGTAAACAAGTTCATAGTTGTGGAGCGGGACCGGATTCGTGTTAGCAAAGTGAAATGTAGTTTGTTGAGTTGCTGAGACAGTGAAATCGATGCTCAAACAAGCTATACTGATACTGGTATTATAATTATTATTGAATATATGTAAAAAATATTCGGATTCCGTACAAATACATATAATGTTGCTTTTATTTATTTATTTATAGCATCATGAGTACAGAGAACGGCGTCTCATAGAAACATGGACCCTGTTAGGGTACTGCAATCTAATTGTTAATTTTATGTGTGCTCCATAACAATTTTATACTATAATAAAATCTCTATTAACTACTCCAGTAAAAATTGAAATATGCATTATCACTTAAAAATGACTAAATATATACGTGTATTAGAAGTGGTACGTGGGAGACAGAACATTTATCCATATTGCTTATAGCTCTCTACCTGACAAGAACCCTTCTATTGAGTAGTAACATATAGACACGAGTAACAAATTAATTTGTTTTAAAAGGTGGATATTTGTCCTCTATTTTCAAAATGTCTGATGTTTTATTATATATACAGTATAGCCCTGTAATAAGGGCTATTTCTATACATCTCTAGATTGGGCATAGGGAGGGATAATTTGTGTTTACGGTAAACACTTTGAACTGGTTTAAAAATGGATATGTGTTTTCTAACAAACATTGCAGTTTCAAGGATGTATATTGACGTTACAGTAAGGAGGTTTAGTTTTGTAAAATGGTCTGTAGGAAACTCTCTGACGCAAGTTTAATATTATGCAAAGGCATTTTTTGGAATTGTGAAGAGTTTGTTGGCATTACAGTATTCCCGGGTCGGGAGAAATATTTGTATGGCCTACATTTATTTCTCTCGTAAGTTTGGGTGTAATTTGTGGTTGTCTACGTGTGTGTCCATGGCACCCGCGACACAGGGTTTCCCTAATGCGGGGCTATGTTGAGTGTGTACGTTATTATCATTATTATTATTATTATTATAATGGCATTGCTGTGAAATACACGTAAACTTTTTTTATTATGTTATAATACAAATACTTCATTCAAATTACTGTCTTCAATTTTAAATCTATAGCTGTAGCTTAAAGAGGCACTTACACATACTGACACAACATATATGTAGCTCAATTTATCGGTATTAAATCGTCATAAATATGATATATGGTATTTTCACGACTCGGTGACCCAATGTTTATATTGTGAGCGCTGGATGAGAATTCCTGGTAGTACCAATACGAAATGAACTTTTCTAAATTGGTTCTCGGTATTCTAAGAAGTGCCCCAGAGTATAGCATAGTACAGAGAATTCCCTAGTGTGAGACCAGGCAATTGATGAGGTTGTTTGACCCATTAAAAAAAAAGTAGCCCACGTCTAGAAACACAAGCTATCAAAATATTTTCATTTGCAAAACACTTTGCCATTTACGTTCAGGGTTCATTTCATGAGCACTGGATTCGAATGCATATATATGTATACAAAAAAGGATACTTATTTGTAATACTAACCCTACTTTAAGTGTGGTGTTACTAACCCCAATGGATAAACGTCCGAACCTGTTTATTTTTGAATATTGTACATAATTTTGTAATTCTTTTATGGATAATAATAATTTTAGTAGCAGTAGAGCTCCTTGTTGTGGAGTTGATCCAGGTAAGTACTGCCTCGGCTTGGGGCCCTCAGCGGCTCTCCCTGACTGCCATATAAGGAGGAGATCTCTCGCTGCCAACAACCATGGGCGCAATGCTCTGCAGCGAGAGGTGCTGGGAGGCTATGGTATCCTTTTGCGAGATCGTAATCTCGCAGAAGGAGGCTGCGGAGCGCTCCAGAGAGGACGACCCCCTCTCTGACCGGCTTCGAAGACGTAGGCCGGGGAGACGAAGGAGGCAGTACGCCCACCTTCTTCCCCCGCCGTATATTGGGGTCGGGGGACCCCTTCCATCAAGACTAAGGGTACCCGGGACACCCTCTAAGGACTGGGCCCGCTCTATGCGGGCCATCCGTCGAGACGTCCCAGTAATGGGTCTGGGTCGTCTCTTTGGCGGTGGAGTTAACCGCTGGGTTTTAGTGGGTATACGGGACTACCGCCCGGGAGTCCCACATAACCGCTCGATGCTCCCCCGAGCCGAGCGGTATGCGTATCGCATTTCCCAGCGACAAATAAAATAAAAATAAAAATTAAAAAAGAAAAGGTAAGTACTGCCACCTTACCTATTTCTGCAGCCAAACGGTAGTATGAGTATTACTGCGTTTCGGTTTTGAAGGGTAAGGGGTGCTAGTGAAATTACAGGCACATGGGACTTTTCAACTTATGTCCCAGGGTGATGGGCGCAGAGGCAGTGCACCTCAGATCTTTGCGATTTAAAACTCTGAGTGGCACTGCAACTGTTATGGACAGACGTGTCGTTTACCACCAGGCGCACGACTTCTTCGTCCCATCACTTACTATCATAAAAAAAATTGAATCGATTTATATTATAAAATTAAAACGTTTAAATTTACAGTTTAATATTTTGTATTATATATGTAGTTGGATTTATCCGTTAGGTTTTATAATTCTATGTGTATAGATTTCTAAATTTGCACCAATAATATAATCAACTGGCGGTAACAATAAAGAAAGTCAGCAAATTAAGTTTATTAAATTGCAGAAGAATTCATTAACCATGCGAGTAATGGAGTACTCCCTAATTGAGCCTTCAGATGCAGCGTACTTCCCATTATATAACCATTTTAAAACTTTTGCGGTGTTTTGTACTATTCAAAATGAAGGGTTGTATAGTATATATTTAGAAAATAAGAGAATCTGTTTATGTCTGATTAGGATTATGATAAATATTACGACCACTATACTTGTGTTAATTACATACGATGAAAATGTATTAAATCTTTACAGATACAAAATTAATACCAAACTTACGTATCTTAAATGTGAAGACGTGATATAGAAAACAAATACGTTTAACGAACAGATTTGCTGCTTTCATATGAGAATCTTCGTGATGTATCGAAGGTCTGGAAGTAATATTCTTGAGGGTTAGTAACAAATCGTTGAGCTCAAGAACTGCTTTATAAGAATTGGTTTGGGTTTGATTGCTTTTCGAAAGGCGTCATAAAATTGAAAAATTGGAAAATTGTGAGAAACCGTATTCTTTTATACATTGTTGAGCCGGTGCATGGAATGGGATTTTTATCCAATTAAGTGGAATTTATGGTATATTTTCGTCATAAAATATTTAAAAAATAAATACGACAAAAGTATCAATACAATAAAAAGAAAAGACAGCGGTAGAAAAGAGTATCAAGTGGGTAATTTTCAGGT